ACAACAGCAATGCAATCCCCGTGTCTTCTCTCTCTTTCTTACTCTTGTTTTCGTTTGTAGGGATCCCTTTGTATTTTGTGGATTTGCAGGATGACTTAGATGATTGTGAGTAACTGTTTTCAATTTTTCTTTAAAAACACACACACACACACACAAGGAAAGGAAAATGCCAGTGAAATCGTGGTGGTGGCTTTCCTAAAGGAGCTCTGACTTTGCCTGTTAAAATCCCTCCCAGAGAGGTCGAAGAAGATTATAAGGATTGGGATGTCGATCCTTCCTCTTTAGTTAGGAGAGTTGCTATTTTTAGAAAAACCTGTATGTTAAAAGTGTAGCCTTGCAGTATACTGGAGGCTTTTTGACTTGCTATAGCTTGAGTACTCCAGTCTGAAATCCATTGCAGTACTGTCAATATTATTTACTTTTAATGAGCAGCCTAGCTTTTTCAAGCTGGGCCCCGGTGAGCAGATATATGGAGTTACAGTTCCAATGAATCTTAGCCTTCTGGAAATAATGGGGATTGTGATCATACATATCTGGAAGGCTATCTTAGGCTCTTCCAGTTTTGCAGCTTTGAAGGATCTGAGTAAACGTATTGATATATTTTAAATAATTTGTGGTACTGGTATAGTTCTTCATTTTGCAATTTCATTGAAACAAATGAATTGTATAAAGCAGTGTAAGTCTCTATAGCATCTAGTTTTACAGTGGAGGGGTAGCAGAAAGGGATTGTTGGATCATCCCAAAAATACTAAGAGGAAGAAGTAACCATTGATTTTGGACACTCATATGCTGCAAAACATAATCTCTATCTCTTTATGATACATGCTTGTTTCTGTTTTGCTTTCTGTGGTTGATTGGCAAAAACAGTGGCTGCAGCAGCAATTAAGTTTAAAGAAAAACTTGCAACAGTAATTGTGATTTGATGATGCTATCCTTAAAATGCAGCCCTGGTAGATCTGCACTGAGTTTGCTTTAGAAACCTTTGCTGATTTTTACAGTATGAACTCTTGATTTTTGTGAACATATAGCATCGTAATGTAAAATAAGGAAATTTTAAATTCTAAATTAAAAGCTCAGTACCATGTTAATCTTTATAAAGCGATAGGCACTATCAAAATGACTTACAAAATGACTATCCAGAAGTAGATCTCACTGATTTTAATGGGACTTAGCATTAATTATTTGACTAGAATTCATATAATTCATATAATATAACCTGTCAATTAAGTTTGTCTATTATAAGCAGTGACTTAGACTTTATTTGCTTTCAGATCAGGCTTCATCTTAAAAAAAGGTATTCCTTTCTGTATGAGAGAAAATATATTAGGCATCCTTTAAGACAGTTTCTCAAAGCATGGGTTGCATCTCCTAGGTCTTGAGACAGTCGAGGGGGGGCAGGGGTCACAGTGAGTGCCTTTGTGCTCCTTTCAAAGCAGACTTACTGTATTAGCTTGATGCAAAGGAATGGAGTTCTGTACTGTAATTGCCTTTCAAAGGCATAATCATACCTGGAGGGTATGAGGTTTCTGTGCAAAACTCTGACCATCAGATTTGATTCTCACTTTGCAGATGAAATGGAGGAGAAGGGAAAGGAGGTCAACTGTGATTAACTCATTGTAGCTATGCTTGGAGACAAGGCACCCAAAGCGACCTATAGCCTCCCAATATTTTGCAAGCTGAAGCAGTTTAAGCAGTTTAACCTAATTTAAAGCAGTAGAACATTGTATACATATATGTGTACACACATAGCTACATGCATATATGCATGTAAACTCATATATGTACACAGTGTGAGAAATATATCCCCAAGTATTTAATGTTTATTTTTTTATATTTTGATCTCATTATAATTGTTGTCTCAATCTTCTATGAATCTTTGCAATGTTAATTCCAGTAATAAATTATCAAATATTCAGCTGCTGTGTATTACTGTTTCATAGCTCAATTCTCTGTGTGTTTGTTAACCTAAATCCCATTGAGTTAATTAGGTTTACTTTTAAGTAGTTCCTTATTGGCTTGTACTTTAAGTCATGTTCTCTTAATCTCTCTCTTCTATCAAAAAATTATCAACTTTCTTTCATTTGAAAGAAGAACCTTATAAAATGATTCTATGATAAGGCTATGCAGTACTTTAGATTTGAAGGCAAAAAGGTGCCTTTAAGCTCGTGACACAAACATAACAGTTGTTCACAACTCGTTAGCTGCATGATCTTAGAAAAAGATGCATGTAGTTTAAGAAGTTGTGGATACATGCAATGTTTGTGCTCCAAAGTACCATTTTGTCTTAAAATAGCCCTACATGGCATGGGGCCACGTTACCTGAGGGACTGCCTCTCCCGCACGTCTTCAACCCATCCCACCCGATCACACAGAGAGGGCATGCTCCAGACCCCCTCGGCAAAAGAACTCCGACTAGCGGGGTCCAGAAGGCGGCCTT